CTTTAACTGGTTAATTTGTGTTTACGACGCTGGTTCAGTCGAAAACAGTTTATTCTGTTTTTATTTTTTTCGCAGATCCTCCCCCTTGGAAACGGAATGATACTCCACTCCCATCTGAGGAAGAGTACCGATCCCTGTCGAATCAGAATGGTGAGAATCAGCCTCGTTACCAAGAATATCTTTTAACTAGCAGAAACCATGGTTAGGAAGTACGGGTGCTAGGCTTGGATAAATTCTGCTCGTAAGATGGTTATTATGTCTGCCGGCGGTGCTCGTAAAAATCGTTTATTCTGCTCAAAATTCTGCTCGGACACCCTTCTGCCCGAATTCTGCTAAGTATCCGAAAAAATCTTCGGCCCTTCGCGACGTATTTATTTTCGCAAAAATAGAAGGGAGCCTGGGCCTAACCCCTAAAAATTAATTAGATATTCATTTTGCGTAGCAAAATTGTAATTCATCTTACTTCTAATGTAAGTGCGTTGTAGCTGTTAAAGAATCAAATTAATCACAAGATATTTTCCATTTGTTTGTTATTTAGTTTTATATTTTTCTTTCAACTGTTATGCATATCATTAGTGCCACTGATTTTCCCTTATTCTGTTCAAATTCTGCTCGAAAATGCCTTATTCTGCCGGCAGAATTTATCCATGCCTAACGGGTACAGAGTTGGGAGATTAATTATAAAAAAAACGCAGTTTAAAATTTGAATAGTAGATGTTTAGCATGAAAAGATGAATACATGTTACCTTTTAGGCCCAGTGTTAATAGAGCAAATTTCGATGGAATCACTAACGTGGAAATTGAATTGAACTATACCGTAATCAAGACTAATACTAGACTGGGAACAACTATTAAAAAAGAACTATTGCCAAGATTACTGGGAAACAGTAACAAGTAAAAACGATCAACAAGACTGCAAGACGTCATCAATGGAAAATGATGCGATATTCTCGGAATATTGGGCTCGCTAGAAATTGACACGTCTCGAAGTCTCTAATTTAATTGATCGATTTGGATCTCGGAATGTCGAAAATTGCCAGCCGATGTTTGGATTATATATTTACGAAGGTTAGTTGAACAAGAAAGATCGACTTTATTTCCTTTAGCAGCAGTAAATAACTATCTGATAATGAAGGAGAACATCCGTACATTTTTAACCTAAATGACTCTTCAGCAGCTCTACATTGCCCTTTTCAGTAGTGTACTTACTTAGCTTGAAGCTTTGCAGGCAACGGCTAACCACTGGCGTGTCCCATTTGTTTTAAACGTCGAGCTAGTAAACAATTGCTCTTAACCGAACGATTCATATACTGCCTTTTGAACAACGGGGATAACCTATGCTAAATATCAAAGCCATTTCAATCAATATCGTAGAATAGGTAAATTAGACGCAGAGAAACAGTATACTTTTATCCGCAGACAATTTTCTCCGAGCTTAGATTATTTGAATTAGCAGTCTAGTTTCACCTAAGAATGCACCAGCTAGCTCACTCTTTTCAAAACGGGAACTAACAAAATATTACATACTCATTGTAGTGTTTTGCACGAGTTCGAATTTGATCGGTGGTCAGCAATTCCTTCCCTGTTGCAGAACTTGACCTCAGCTGATTGTTGTCTTAGTCTCTACCTACACCCAAGTATATATTATGGGACTTCGGAGAGCTCTTTAGTAGTGACACTAAGCTTGTGAAGATTTTGTACAGTATGTAAGCACTGATGGCCTTGATTGCTATTCCCTCTTATAACACGAGTTATTTGTAGCACCTAGCTGCTTCTTGTCATCTTTTTGCGGAAACACGGCATTGTTCAAGCACGGCATTAACCATATTACATAGTAAGTCGTCCTCAGTAGCCTTAGCCGAATAGCACACTTTGCTCCATTTTGGATGTATGTCGTGCTTTGTTCCACGAGATGTCGTACGAAGGTGACAGCTTACCGATACTAGTTCCTCGGCAGGTTATCTGATCACTCAATTTTATGTATATATGTTAAGAGCTGAACTCGAGCGCGGTTTATTCCTGGCTTGTCGGCCACTTCTGCTGCAAAGCCACTTGAAGCTACTCGAGTCAAATCTCTTGTTGTCACAGAACTCCTCTGCGTCCGGTGGGCAGTACGTTGGCGGGCATGTATGTTGGCAGTATGTTTGTACTGAACTTTCCAACAACTTAAAAACTGAACTTTCTAAAAAGTAAACTTTCTCGAAGAAATCCTTATAGCAAAATGGGCTTCAAATTTCCAGGCGTTCTAATGCAAATACGCAAGGGCAGGTCCAATTTTTGAGCTCACTAACTTTTAGCCGGAAAGCTTTATGCCGGTATTGGTGTAAGAATGATGGTAACTAAGGTCATTGCTATTGTTCTCGTAAGTGCGGTAAAGCGTAACTTTCGGAGCCGAAGGGACGGGGTTCGATACCAAAATCTAAATCTAAATGTAAATGTCTGATCTGCAAAGAGCAGTACAGCCCTTCAGCAGCTATGTGCTGTGCTCGTGCTATGTGCGCTAAAAGACAGTGCAGGGAATTTGTGCTGGTGATATAAAAATAAAAAATGTTCAAATGCTCAATTGGGCCTGGCCTGGGCCCTCAAGGCAAGCTTGAAGGCCTCCTTGTTGGCAGCTTCAATAATTGTTTCGGGAAGTTCGTTCCATTCTTTAACGGATCTGGGAAAAAAGCTATATTTATATATATTAGTCCTGCAAGCAGCGTTTATAAATTTAAGTGGGTGGTAATTTCTTGTTTGGCGTTCCTTCTGCCTGAAGTAATTTGGAATTACTACTGCCGGGGTGCCATTTAGGATCTTATACAAGTTTGTTCATCTTGTTTGTTTCCTTCTCTGTTCCAATGATGACCATTTTAGCTCCTCTAGTAAACTTGTGATGGTGCCCGGTGTGCGCTGATTACACTTCTTAACAAAACGAGCCGCTCTGCGCTGGACTTTCTCAATTGATTGAATGTTCTTTTGTGTATGTGGGTCCCACACTGAGCATGCATACTCCAAATGGGGTCTAACTAAAGAATAATACGCCTGCGTCTTGATCTGTTCGGGGCAGTTATGTAGATTTCCTGTCAAGACGCCGAGGGAAGAGTTCGCTCTCCCTGTAATAGCAGAAATATGTTCATTCCATGTTAATTTGCTATCTAATTCTACACCCAGATACTTGTGCCGCCGTGTGACTGACGTTATGGGCTGTCCCATCATAGTATAGGTGCAGTTAACCACATTATCTCTGGAACGAGTGCCTCTAAGCAGAAAACACTTGCTGGCATTAAAAGCCATCTGCCATTTCTCTGACCAGACTACTAATTTGTTGAGGTCACTTTGAAGCACCTCGGCACTGCTAGTGTTGTTAACAACCCCATATAGGACGCTGTCATCTGCAAACAGACCCAATTCTGAGGTTTTTTGGAGACCAATGTCATTGATGTAGAGTAAGAACAACAGTGGGCCCAGGACGGTGCCCTGAAGAACTTCTGAAGTTACAGTCACTGGAGAAGACTGTGAACCATTATCAACAACTGTCTGAGTCCTTCCGCAAAGCCAGGATTCTATCCATTTGATCAGTTGTCCACGGATTCCGTAGTGATTTAATTTCTTAAGGAGACGTTTGCGCGGGACCGTATCGAATGCCCTGGAGAGGTCCAGCAATAATACATCAGTCTGTTTGCTATCGTCTAAGTTTCTGGCTAGGTGTTCGACTATTGTAATTAGCTGGCTTTCACATGAGTGGCCCTGGCGAAATCCATGCTGGTAGTTGACAAGTACATGATGTGCGTCCAAGTGACCCATAATATGATGGAAGATAATGTGCTTCAAGATCTTCCAGGGCATAGACGTGAGAGATACTGGTCTCTAGTTGCAGGCTTCTTTCTTACTGCCTTTTTTAAACACTGGGGTCACATTGGCAAATTTCCAGTCACCTGGGACTTCACCTGTTGTTAATGATTGATTGAATATAAATCGCAGAAATGGGGCAATTTCTTCCGCTGCTTCTTTCAGCACCCAGCATGAAATGCCATCGGGACCACTGTCTTTCTTTCTGTTGATATTCCTGAGCAGGGACACTATGCCCTTGGTCTGAAATACAAGTGGGTCTAATATCTGAAACACCACTGCTGTCCATATCTGGGATCGTGTCTACATCTTTCGTCTGTGAAGACCGCCTTGAATTGGTTGCTTAGGATTTCTGCTTTAGCTTTGTTATCAGTTATTTCAGTATTTCCAGAATTTAAAGAACTAATTACATTGTTTTTTTTCTTTTGGACTTGATGTAGGTCCAAAATTTCTTTCCAATGGATGGTGAATTCTTCTTGTCTAACCAGTCAAGAAGACCTAGTACACAGTCGTTATGTGCTACCAGTAGGCTACGTTTCCAGGTTTTCCGTAGCTCTTTAAATTTCTTCCAATGTTGCGGATTTTGCGTCCGTTTAGCGAGGTTATAAACTCCTTGTGTTTTCCTCATCAGTCCCCTTAACCCTGGGGTGATCCAAGGTACGTTCCACCTGCCGCTGATGGTTTTGGTGGGGACATGGTTCTTGATAGCCGTTAGAATTATTCTTGTAAAGTGGCACCAGTTTTGTTCAACAGATCTGTCATGGGGATGACTGGTTTGAAACTTGTCCCATGCTGAGCTAATTTCATCCTTTAATAATTCACTGTCCGCTTTCTTGTAAATATAGATTTTCCTTATAGGTTTCACTTTCAAGATCAGATCAGTTATGACAACGCTGTGATCACTTATGCTCTCGACAACTTAAGTTTTGCCTACAGAGTCAGGAATAGTTGATAGAACAAGATCCATGGTTATGGTTTTTTAGCCGTTTTGGTCTGATATAGGGTATCAATTTCGACCATTTTGGTCTGAAATAGGGAATGGTTTGTGCACTCTACTCTTGAATTGGGTATGTTTTTTTTAGAAGAAGCTACTTCTTCATCATTTGGCGATAAGACCATTTCTCTTTTAATGTTTACGCCAACCGTGTACGTGCCGTAACAGCTTGTCACGCGCTCCGGTCACGCGCCGGGCTCCACGGCTTTAGGTCTGAAATACGGTAGGGTATCAAATTTTTGATCAGGCCTGAAGTAGGGAAAATCACAGATTTTGGTTTGAAATAGGGTAAGGGTTCCAGGAAGCGTGCCGCACACCCCCACCCAATTTTTGTGGAAGTACCCCACCCCGGGGGTTTTCGTCGTATTTTCTATACAATGGGGGGTCATTGCGCCAGGCGTTCCTTGCGGAGTCCGTGGAAAATGGAACCAAGAATCGTTGCGTGATCGAAGCCGTGCATGTTTTGCGAAGAAAGCTTAGGAAAGATTAAATTTAGAGTTTTTCCCTACACATTGCAGAAAGCAACTTTTGACTTTTTTTTAGCAACTTTTTAAGAAAGTACGGGAAACTTGTGGCAGCCAAGCCTAAAACCGTTCTAAACTGGTCACAGCTGGGCTCGTTTCTAAAGTCAACCATATATTTTTAACTATACTCAGCAACTGTAGTGAAATTGGACTTCTTCCCTAGTGTACGTACGGCGTCACCTCCCGTAAGCGACCCCTAAATCTTCGCATTTTGGGTGGTCGCTTAGCAGGTTCGACTCCCGGGGGGGTACTCCCTTATAAGGGCATAATGGGGACGTGCGGCCAGCCAGGGTATGTTTTTCGGGATTTTTGTCTTAAACAGGGTATCGAATTTATCATTTTTTGTCTTAATCAGGGTATCGATTTATCAATTTTTGTCTTAAACAGGATATCTTTTCTTGGACGATAAACAGCAAAATTTTTACAAGCTCTAATGTTAATTAATATTGACTTCCGTTGACTTAAACAGGGTATCAAAAATCGGAATTCTGTCTTAAACAGAGTAGGAAAATCAGCAATATTTGTCTTAAGCAGGGTCAGAGTAGGAGGGGCCGCGCCGCACCTCCCCACCCAGGGATATATCGAGTACCCCCCCCCCCCCGGGGTTCGACTGCATTTTTCAAACCAACGGATCTATTTATAGAAACTCTCGGCTGCGTTCCTTAAAGTCCGTAAAACATGTGTCAGAGTTTTTTTTTTCTTACCTAATTTCTGAGAACGGACCTATAGAGCCAGGATATAATCAAAAGGGTGCTTTTGGCTCACTCTTGGATTAAGTAGTTTAGAAATAAAAGCTGATAATCAACTTGCAATGTCTAAACAAGGGCACATCATGCTAAATCTCTCTCGCAAAGCTACGGCTTAGTTTGCCGGTTTATGTTGGACACATTTTACGATAAACATGTAAGAGAAGGGGCTTGCACTTTTCTTGCTATTCCAGGGAACATATGTGATAGTAGGTGGCTATATGGGGCTAGAGCCTGCTTGGAGAGCACTGCTGTTTATTCACTGTAGAATTGAGTTTTCCGTCTCGTCACCAGTTCCCTGTCTAGTCATTTTTATGTTGTTTCTTATTTTCAGAATTTTCAAGAAATCCCTCAAATGTTATGTCTTCACCATATTTCATTTTCTCTGACTGATATTTCTTGTATGTTGTATACTTAAAATGAGTCATTACTAGCTTTCTCATATACGAATCATAGCAAACAAGTCTTTCTTTCCTTTTTCAAAGTATATGATAAGCAAACCCATTTGGTGTTGTCTACACTAGTTTTACCAGTTATGCACACATGCAGATCAAGAAGACTTTTTATGCACACAGTGTAGTGTTTGTTAGCATCACACTTTGTAACCTTACCCATGGTCGGTACCACAACTGATCACGGCAAGTACATAATAATCAGAGCCACACTTGATGCCATTTCCATTTCATGTGTCTCATGTGTCTCATCTGCCACGGCAGTTGAACATCATTCACTTTTAACTCGTCACTCAACAGTAAGATGAACAAGTATTTTTCCTACAAGTCTACCTCTATACAATGTAGTTGAAAGTTTTTCATTTCGATCAAATATGCTGTACTGTACATAATCAGGACATAATATAAAGCTCAATGTATTTCTACTTGAGTCACTCTTTTCGGAACCTCATTTTTTGATAAGCTTAATTTCCTAGTACTTATTTGTCATCTCGACGGCCCTCTGCCAGGGCTTGCACCTTCAAATTTACAAGTAACCTTTCAGTCAACTTACTTCTTGAACGTTCCGATGTTTCTCCAACTTTTGTCTGCTAGTAGGTCTTCCATGCGATGTTTACTTCCTTCCGGTTGACCACATACCCTTTTCTATGGTTTCGCATTTGATGAAATCGTCAATTGTGCAGCCAATGCTTGGCCGGCGTGCTTACAACACTTCCTTTCTTCAAGACATACTCGTTTAACAGTATTCCTCATCATAGTTTGACAAATAAAACTCATTCTCATCAACGCTTAAAACATTAGCATGAGATTACCCATTTTGAGGTCACTTAACTTTCAGGCCAGCCCGAAATTATTTACTCTTCACGAGTCAAAAAGCTTCAAGAGTTCATGAAATTTAGTTAGCCACATGAAGTTCTCATGAAGACAACTTATCGTCCTATGAAAGCTACAAAATCGTAACATGAAAGCTCTGGGCACAATGCACGCTCAGCACTTCTTTATACCGGGGGCTTTCGGGAACGGTTGATCTACGACAGTTATCGTTTTGATATTGGGCGCTCTCGTGCGAGCCGATTAATTACGAACGTCTCTACACCTGAGTGAGACATTTGCATATCGCCTATCCTCTTTTTGATCATTTCCAATCTTCTAAGCGTGAAAGTAATGGAAAAGGATTCGGGAACTCAGAAATTGCTTTGGGAAATAATTTGTCGTCGTTTACGTACGAGGTGAACCCGGTCCTTGCGAGGCAATGCTCGACCAATGTGGGTTTTTTTTTACGTGTGTGAAATCCTGTATGAACAAAACACGGTCAATAAGACTCATCAAGGGGAACTGGTCCGAGTGTGATTGTTACTGGTGAAACACAAACTCCGCTGTCTCTAGTGCCAAGGTTCAAACTACTTAGACCTGAGCGAACGTTTTCATGATAAATTTTTTTCCAGTATTATTCCTGCTCCGCCCACTGATTCACTACTGACTTGCAAATCAGTGGTCTTAGCTAAAAATCGTCTCCTGAACTTTCTGTTGTTACAGTGCGTTTATCTGTTCCAAGGTTTACTTTGTGCTGTCTTGCAGTGTATTCATGTTTTAGGAGTGAACCCTTGGTTCATTGCTAATTGCCTAGCCCTGACGATCGACTTATTTGATCCTGGCTGTTTTGGTGTTTAGTAACGGCAACGCCTTGCTTTTGATTCTGATGTTGCCCCATCCCTTTTTGCGTCTGAAACTCGGGCGACCTGGTTTGTGCTTTCCTGCCCTATTGCTATTGACATTTAGTATATACTAAAACAGTGGATTGTGTTTTTCGCGCGCTCTGATTGGCTACTTAGTCAGTGAATATCCTGCACTATTCACTGATTCACCTCCAGTTCCTCCGAGCGAGCGACGCCAAACTCGCGTAAGTTGCGAGCAAAATGCCTTCCCGTTTTGCTGCCGTAACAAACAAAGAAATTTCACAACTAATCAAGCAAGCTGTTCCCGAAATACACGAAGAAAGTGACGAAGTTCGGTTTGGAAGTTTTAACAGGTAAAGCTTTGTCTTTTTGACTTGATTTTATCGATAAAACCGGTGAAAAAGTATTTTGTTTACAAATGCAAATTAAGCTTAAGTCTTGCGTTACTTTATTAGGTTGACTTGTTCATAAAGTTTTATTTGTCGGCAAGAAAAAGCGGCGACCGCGGCTGCTCGGTCATTGCGCGCCAAAATTGTTATCGTTGGCAACAGGAAATGAGTTAAAAATCATCATTTTTTTGCTTAATTATCTCACTGTTTTAGTATATACTAACACAATTATTCACCTCAGTGTCGGTGGCTAGTGGTGTGGATATTTACCGCGCCGCTTTGCGGCCTCGGTAAATTTCATCACTACCCACTTCCACTTCGGTGAATAATTGTTATATATTCTTTGTTTTTAATGCCATTCTCTGCAGCTTCATCTCTGCCTCCATGCATCTCCATCACCTTATGGGAAACGAGGCTTTTCCTATAGACACTTATGTTAATTCCCCACTTCTGAACATGGGTAAGTGCTGCTAAATCCCCACCCATGACTCGGGGCAAACATGCATCTCATACTTCTCTGCTCTCGTCAAGATAAAAGATGTAAAAAACAGGATCAAAATGAGTCTGAAAGTGAGGGGATGAAGACAACAGTTCCGTTATTATTTTTAGACGAGCATAGGATGAGATCATTTAATCCCTTCTTCTATGGAAATTTCCAGATATGATCTAGAGCGGGGATGGATTCTAGAGTTGACAAGGAGGATCTTGCAAACGTGATGTTTAACTGGAATGTGTGGAATAAGATTGTTCGGAGTGTCCCGACCGAAAGATGATGATGGTGAGGATGGTAGACTCGAGAGTCATGCTCACGTCGTTAGGTAGAACCGTGAGACGACCGACTACTTCTTGATACGTAGGGTAGAGAGGTAAAGGAGTGAAGTGAGTGAAGAGGCTTATCAGACTAACGGCTATCCCCCGGTGTCCCTAGCGTGAAGCGATCAGCGCAAAGGCATCTCCATAAACGGGTTGTTAGTACATTGCAAATTTTTCCTCGGTCAGCATTATGATCGTCGTATCCAATATATACAGTTGGGTGGAGAGAGACAATAATGTGATCCAGAGTAAAGCTTCTTGTTTAGTTAAACAACGGTGACAACGGTGGAGAGACCAGAGACCAGCTAACCACCAACCTTCCGTTTGAGTAGTTAACGATTTAACAGTGGACCACCATGCTCTATGATTTATCGGGTCAGTTGGTCTAAAATTGTTGAACGCGGATTCAGTTGTGAATTGCGATGTGTAGGTGTTTCATACACGAATTGATAATTGAGAAATACTTAATTGCAGAAGTGTAGTGGTTTCTTTACAGCACACCTCTAACCACCTTTTCTAAAATTCCACCAAGGACGAACGAGTTGAGTTGAGCTTCTTGAAAAAAGTCTTTTAAAAAGCGTGGCGAGCGGAACCATATGACAAGTTTTTTTTCATACTCTTAATACCTATTAAGTTCCTGTTTACATGGAGATGAGGGACCCCAGGTGGGTGAGGTATCCCACTTAGGTGTGGTAACCCGCCTATCCATATAATCTCTCATTTGAATTTGATCACGTTTACATGATAGGTGGGGTGACCCGCCAAGGCGGGTAACCCAGTCTGCCAGACCGAGTTACCCTCTCAGCCAGGGTCAAATTCTGCCATGTAAACGTTTTAAGGTGGGGTAACCCGCCTAGCCGGGGTCGGATTCGCGATACATCAAATTCGCGCAAAATGCTCTCGGGCGATGGCTTTGCATCATTATTAAAGGTAACAATAGAAAGCTACAGCACTGAAAGTTGCAGCAAGGGTAGTGAGTGTAGAAGAATATTAATCGCCAAAACACGTGGTTTGCCAGCATTTTTCTTGTTTACATGCTTAGCGACCATTCAATAATCTTGAGAAAGTGCACCCCGGGATGGCGGAGGTGTAAGATTGCATGTAAAGGAAGGTTATTTTTTTACCCCACCTAAGCGGGTTACCTCACCTATCTGGGGTCCCCCACCTCCATATCAACAGGCCCTAAGTTTATTTTAGAGGTTTTAAGATTTTTCTTAAACAGTCGTGCTTGGAATCATCCATTTATGTGTTTTAAATGGGTGGCTCCTTCGCCTGGACAGAAGACGGTCATGCTTCTGCCGTGCAGGCGTACGAAAATTCGGATGTTTCGTCAGGAATTTTCTGAGTTTTGGGAGGAGTGTAGATCAAGAGGTTATGGAATTAATGGATTTTGCTTAAGTTAAAGGAGGTACCAGGAGACTTATGTGCCGTCGTAGAGCCGAGTCTTATTAGAAGTTAAGGCCTTGTTTGCGGATGGCCCAGTGACAACATATCAGTATTGACACTTAATCAGGCATGTAAAGTTCACCATATGGTTTGCCCTCGCCCACAGAAATAGTAACAGTAACTTCTCTTTTTTTCCTGTTACTGAATAAAGGGTGTAGTGCGTCTCTTAAATGTAACTTAAACGGGACGTTTCTCCGCTACTGCTCGTGAAATTATATCTAAGCCTGCTATTTTGACTACTTTGATATAACAGTTAACAGTTCCATTTTTTTTTTAACAAGGTCCCCCGTCAGTCCCTTCTAGAGGTCCCATTTGCGAAGAGATTGGAAAGGCCGGAAAAGTCTCCGTGCATGCAGGTAACAACTGGTCCGTTAAATTTTACTTACAGAAACAGTTTTTTCAATCAGGTTATTATAGGAATGTCTAAGAAAATAAAGATCGCGAAAACTTAAACGCCAAACTTAAATTTAATTTACAAAGTTATAAGTGAGTGTTTGATGTCCCTATAGACATGTTACATTAGAGTGCTATTCCTTACGAAAATCCATGGGGATTTTTTAATCCGCAAACGAATACAATCAAATTTTATTATAGCGGACTCTGTGGGGACCTCACGTGACTGTCCACATTAGCGAGAGTCCGGAATAGAGGGTGTTTACTTCTGTCAAAACTCTCTAATTATTTTTTGCTTGGGATTTACCTGCTGTCCGTATTCTCGGGTTGTCCGTTATAGCGAGGTGTCCGCAAGGCGAGAGTTGACTGTATTTCGCTTCTGTACTAAAATCCATAAACGGGTTATTATTTGGGCGTCGCCCAAATAGAGTAATCGAGTTCGCTTGTTTTGATTCAAAGTTGCAATAGGCACGCAATACGTGCGAATGTAAACAAGACAAGCGACGCGAATGCCGCGCGTTGTGTCACAACACAGCATTCATCTTCGTTATATACGACCCACAGATAACGCATGGCAAACAAATCGGCAATACAAAACAAACTTTTTGGAAAAACAAGGTACACCGAGCGAAACAAACTATTAAATAATTTAAATTTTTCCTTTGGAAAATAATCGTCCTCGCAGGACACGGTGTAAATGGTTTGGCTGTATTGCCAGTTGTTTGACAATATTTTTGCTCTCAGTTGTCAAGAGCCAAAGAAGATGTCATGCAAAAGTCCATGATCTCGTGCATGAGATAAGTTAGGGAAACATTGAATGATGCATAATTTCAGAGCATATTTTCGGAAAGGAGGTGATTTCTTAAAATCTTATTGAACAACATTGAGTCCAACATCTTCACGTGCAAACCGCGTTCTATTTTTAGATTGAGTCGTATTCTCTCATACACGAACCACGAAAGCGGCAAATTCCAAAGCTTCCACGTGCAAACTGCGTGACAATACAACTCACAGTAAGGGCCTGATCACGTGTTCACTGGAGGCGACGCGTTTATTGAGTTAGCTAATTCAACAACTACAAAGGTACATACAAAGAAAAGCCTATGAAACAAAAAAGGAAATCTAAACCTGGAAGATAACCAACGAGCATCCACTCGATGAAGAAACCTCACCGCGCTCGCTGCGGAATAAACTGAGGAAAAACCCCGGCCCTGTAGATAGAACCCTCCCGACCTGCCGGGCACGGCAATACAGGATCACACTCCTACTTTTTTGTGGGTTTAATGATCTTAGTTTGGGTAGAATTAATTGACCCCGATGAAGTCTTAATTAGGGATTTCACGTCATCTTAAATTTTTTTTTCTTGTCACATTTATGGTCCATTCTTCTTGACGCGAAAATTGTACATATATTGATGAGGACGATGGCTCTTTCAGCAATCTTGTACCCAGAGCCTTCTGGCTTTTTGGGTACGGGGTTGCTCTTTCAGCATCCAATACAACAAAATTTGTGATATTTTTACTTATCGCTTAACCCCTCCTAAGTCCCCATAATTCAATTTTTTCTCTACTGGCATTTTATTACTTTCCCTCCTCCACCATCTCTATTAACAGCCTTCGTGTTGGGACTGCAGCTATCCCTCCTGTGTCGTCTGCAAGGAACTTGGGCTCATGGTTTGATTCCAAGCTGACGATGGCAACCCATATATCAAAAACATGTAACTCTGCCTTCTATTATTTGTATAATTTGAGACGCATAAGAAAATATCTATCTAATTGCAACACCAAGACTCTGATTCATGCCTTTATTTCAAGCAGAGTCGATTACTGTAACAGTCTTTTGTATGGCCTGCCGGAGTATCAACTCAATAAGCTACAGCGTGTGCAGAACATGTGTGGTAGATTAATATGCAATGAAAGTAAATATTGTCACATTACTCCTTTATTAGTAGATTTACACTGGCTGCCTGTAAAGTTCAGAATTGAATTTAAAATCCTGTTGATTGTTTTTAAGATTTTTAAGGGCTTAGCACCCTCGTACTTAAGTTTTTTAATTACCCCTAAGCCTGTCTGTAAATATAATTTAAGAAGTTTAGCGACAGTACCATACTTAGTTATCCAAATGTTAAGCCCGAGGCAACTCTCGGTGAACGGACCTTTCTGTTTGCTGCACCTAAGTTATGGGATGCAGTGCCAAGATTTATTAGGGAATCCATTTCAGTTGACACTTTTAAGAGAAAGTTGAAGACTCACCTTTTTAAAAAAGCATTTTGTACCTCTTAGATTATAAGATTGTATTTTTAGTTTACTAGATTGTAAATAATTTTCAGCTTATAATTTTTAAGATTTTGCTAACAGAATTTATCTTTTTAACTTTTAGCCATTAGTTTTTCTATTCTATATCTATATTATCATCTTATTTTATCATTTTTATTATCATAATTACTCATTAGTTTTATTATTAGTAGTATTATTGTTTTTTGTTGTTGTTGTTGTTTTGTTTTTGTTTTATTTTTTTTCCATAGGGCGCATTTGAATATATTTATATAGATATTTGCGCCTTATAAGTTTTTGAAATTAATTAATTAAATTACCATGACCGACACCTTTCTATTGTCTTCTTTCGCCGCATTTCCTTTTCTTCCACCTTTTTTAACTGGCTTCCTGAGGTGGAGAAGGAGGAGGAGAAAAATCTGGTAGAAAATAGAAATCGATGTGGAAGGAAATAGACCTCTTCGCCACTGCTTTTACCTTAGCAAACAGAAGGGCCGGAAATAGGTGGCTTTTCCCTCCCCTCCCATTTTCTAAGGAAAAGGCTCTGGGGGCGAGGTTGGAGGGAAATAATTGAGTTGGGGAGGACTTGGAAGGGAAAAGGGGCATATAAAATAAAATTACTTAAAATCTATTGGCTAATGAGTGATTTCCCGAGATCCATCTTTTAATATTTCAATATTTAAGACAGGTTTTGTATACCCAAAGTTGCGCACAACAATTAATAGTATACACTGCCAACTAAGTTTTTACGACTAGATTTTTTAAGGCCAAACGGTGGTCGCCTTAACGTGTTTCCACTTTACGTCGGACAGATTTGTAAAATTTTATTCCGCCGGCAACTTCAAAAACAAAGAGACATGTATTGTCTCGTGGCTGCTAAAATTAAAGAATATGCAAGTGTCGTAAAATGTCTTTAAAGTTACAAACATATTGGAGTGACCTTTTGTTAACTGTTTTCTTTGAATAATGAACAACAGTGCCTGGTCGTCTTCCTCTTGTACTCCAATAGATTCTTCCACGAACTGATTTTAGCTCTTTTTTCGCACAGGCTCCCTCGTAAAACAGATTATCTCCGAAGATCCCTTTGTTCTGGATGAAGTTTGTTTGAAATTAGACTATCCAGTTAAGAAATCACGATGTGGTTATTGGCCACATTTTGCTCACCTCTTGGACGCCTCAGAAGAAACGAAAAAGCGATGTCAAAACAGAAGCAATTACAAACCAAGTTTAATGATGTTTACATATTTATCTACAACATTACCCGGCTTTACTGTTAACGACCTGGAATTTTATCTGGGAAAGATTGAGAAAGATAATCTCGTCTCAATGTTGAAACAAAGCTGTGTAAAAGGTAAGAGCTTAATAAGTATTTTTTTATTAGCTTATTTGTTGAGAATTTGTTGATTAGGCTTTTTATTAGAAGCAATATTTTATACAGCAGTATCAAGTTTACCCTATTTAGTCTCGCTTGCGGAAGTAGCGAAACTCATAGTCTGCAACGCGTTTTTCGTCGTATTTAGGAAAAAAAGGGGGGTCAATGTGCCAGGTGTTCCTTGCGGAGACCGGGGAAACTGGGAGTAAGAATCGTTGCGTGATCGAAGCCACGCACGTTTTGCGAACAAAGCCGAGGAAATATTAAATTAAGAGCTTTTCCGAAACGTGTCCGTCCACGAATTCTATCTCTTGAAAGAGTTGATTACTTTGGAACAAGTTAACACTACTGAGTGGTCGAAAAACAAGAAGAATCTTAATTAGCAAAACTGCGATGGTCGGGTGTTGTAAACTTTCATTGTTTGCAAATGGGTCTTGTTAGGAGCATGCGGTTTATCTTCGGCGATGATTGAAATGACGTGCAATGTAAACCACTTCTTTGATCTCTGGCAATGATGTAATTTCTCTGGAATCGAGGCCCTTGAATTTCCGTGTATTTATACACGCGTATAGTCTGCGACCGCAGACGTATTTCCGGTCGTCGCTAACACGCGTACTAAATCAATTCAGAAACAAATAAACAGTATCAATGTCGATAACCAAGGAGGTAAAAAACCTTTAGCGAGTAAATCCTGTTTCGTGTAGAATTAATCGCCTCCTCATTTCTCGATCTAATCTCCAAGTAAGCAAGACTGACCACCGCTGTAAGAGCGTTCTTGTTAGTTCTAATGTAGGCCTGATATAACACAAATCTAACAAATGTAAATCTCAGTGTATTAAAGACCACAGCAACAAATCCAAATGTACTAATATTCAAGTGATTAATCATGGAGTAGCACAGAAGATGTACCGATGTTGGGTAGTCAACTATAAATTAAAGGAGGCACGTTGCTAGGATATAATTTCGAAACCAGGCCTAATAGCCGTGAGCTTGCTACAGCGAGCTCGGTTATACTATACTATAGTTATGACCATCAATTTAACAGTCAACGGATGTTCGCACTCGAAAAAAACTCAGTTTGAGGAGAAAAAACAAGACTGACTAGTCCTGACGTTTGGGCTGCGGCGACGTCAAAGGTTTGACGCGATCCAGGCAGAGTTTCTGCTCGCAAGGTGGAGTTCATGTAAACAGGACAAAGAATGCTGTAGAAAAGAGACGCCCTATTTCGAAGCTTCGCCGCTCATGAAGCTGTAGCAAAATATACTAGCATTTTCACAGATTTTTGCTCAAGTCCATACCTGTTTTGTAGTCACAAATGTACGAGGTATATTTCTCCGAAACATACTTGAGCTATAACGTACTCAAAGGACCATGTTGTTATACCTCAAGTAAGAAATTTGTCCGAAATAAGGAAAAATGCTGCGCGAAAGTTGAATGTTTCAAATAGAACTATAATACGCTACACTCGCACTCAGCCCTATGTTCTGTGCCGGCAAAGTATTTTTTTTAAAGATTTTCACGAATTCTCACTAATTAGAATTAGAGACCTATCTTAACATAGTTTTCCTCTGAGATGTATTAAGAGGTACTTGTAACCAACCTGTTGGGAGGGGAGGGGTGAATGACTTTCCTATCCTTTAAGAGAGTGTGGTTGTCGTTGGTTGTTGTTGTTTTTCATTCCAGCAGTTCTTCGTGCAGGCGCAAGAGACTGGCGAACGCTACGTATCTTTTTACCACAACTCAATTATATTCACCATAAGTTAACACGTTGCCGCGGGAAGCAAAACACATCGTAACCTACGCGAAATAAACTTTAAAGCTTACACAGGAAAAAAGCGAGTGAAAATACCGAATAAACGACGAGGAAAATACGAAATCTGTATTCAAAATGTTTCACATGCAAACATTTTCGGTGAACCTCTGGCGCCATAGAAACGACGTGTTATGTATTAAAACTGCAATATGCAAACTACTGACGTAAGCCGGCGAGTTATAACTCTATGTACACTCACTTGGGAGTATTGTAATAAGAAAAAGGACATTAGAAAAATAAGCAAAACGCGCCTACATGCGGTCCCCGAAGGGGGCACGCGATAAAGTAAGCCCGCCTTTCCATGGCTAACGATACGAAACAAAACAGTTGTCCAAAGTCAATTTTATTATCGTCTTTGCAAAGTTCGTTTAAATAATGTTCAAAGGCATAATTTACGAACGTCTCGTCGTAGAATAAAAGTTGATGTTCTGAAGTTTGCTTCGCACACTACTCCGTGGCGATCGGAAAAAAACTTCATGTACCACTGCTTTAGGCAATTCTCTTCAATAACAAGGACAAGGTGTCCAGTCCCCAGGTTCCGACAAGAACGAAGCCTTTTTAGTCTGTCTTGATGCATTGGCAGCTATTCTAGAATCCACCGTTTCCAGAATATGACTGCTAGATACTGGGCCTGCTTCCACCAAGGGTGAGGGGAGGTTGTATGCAGTTCTCTATCTTGATGCATTGGCAGCTATTCTAGAGTCCACCGTTTCCAGAATATGACTGCTAGATACTGGGCCTGCTTCCACCAAGGGTGATGGGAGGTTGTATGCAGTTCTCCTGCACGGTGGTATGGACTTGTAACTTCCTGCGTTTGAGCTCGCAGTCTTCGTTAGACAAATCTGGAATCCATTCCGGTTGTTCTGGCCATTCCTGTTCTTTTTATACAGTAAGCCGGGCCTAGTAAACCAACATTGCAGCTCGTGAGTCTCAGTGATAGAGAAAACAAAGGATGCGTAATACGCCGGATGGATTGGGAGTCAACGTGACGCCACTACGACGGAGATGTCGCGTCGTAGGTTACTGACAATCAATTGGCCACAAACGTTTGGAATCTTTTCGCTTTACTTGTTACGTATTGAAGGACAATAGTGGTGTCTGTCCAAAATACTGCTTTATGAACTGGCAAATGAAATTGTCCCTTCACGAAACTTATGCAGTTTGACAGAGACCACGGCCGCTATCAGTTTCATCGAGGGAATCGTGAAAGCTTCAAGGGGTGCTACTCGGGATTTACCCATAACCAGGCCGTGGTGAACGCTTCCAGCATAGTCCATAAAACTCTCCAGAATGGCGAGGGCACGGTGGTCTTCAATAGACATAGTTTGTTTCTTACTGGACAAGGATTCAGTAAATTCTGCGTAGTACATCCTCTTCAAAGCTGTGGATATCATCTCTTGATGCTGAGCTATTAAATTTACTGTGGTTTCCGAATGGACTGGGGAACGATTCATCGGCCGAATTAGTGTCCATCCAAGAACAGTTCGAACTGTTGGCTATTGCCTGCGGTAGTCTCTTTGGGTTTGGGAACAGATGGTGTAATGACCTCTTGATTAATGGCTGGCGGCGGATGGAGTAGTGAATGGTGCCGTTTTCAACAGCCGCTGAGCAGGCACGCCCTGGCTCCTCTACACCGCCTCACAAGATGGTCTTCTTTCAGGCGGTTAATACATAACTTCTTAGACATGGGTGTCTCCTAGATGTTTCTACGCTGTGTTGCTGAATTGGACGTTGCTTTGGAAACCGGCTGATCTTCCAGAGCTTGTTTCCCTTTAGCACCCTTGGTCGCTAAGACTTTCGTTTAAGGCAGAGGTTCATCTTCCGGTTTCATCATAAGTTTTTTGTTCTAGACTTATTGATGCTACCCTGAATCCGTCTGACTTACTTCCTACCAGCTTTACAAATGCCTTGTTAGCTACAGTTGCCCCTTTCTCCACGAAGTCAACTGTGATGCAATGTCGGCCTCGATCATTTTGCTTGACTCCTCGGCCCACTTTGCTTGCAGGTGAGATGGAAGCTGCGTGACCTCTTTCGTAAGTGTGTCCATGCATGGAATCTATGTCAGCCTTGTAAGGCATATGGTCAGAGTTCAAAGAACAGCATTTCATGTCATAAGCCAGTTAAGACAGCTTCTCAGTTTCCCATGCACGGATTTGAGGCCTTTTCGTGACCTCATCAATAAACGTTCACACGATAATATGTTTCTGTCCAAAGTTTTTACGTAAGGTCTCTTTGACCTCGCGGTGACCTTGCATGTTTGAAGGGTAGCATTTTGTGCAGTTCTTTATAGCTTCCTTGGCAGCTCTTTCACAATACTGAAGCAGGAAAGAAAGTCTCTCATCATCTTCCTTTGCTCTGTGCTCCGCGTTTATCTTAAAACTCTTGATAAATCGAGGATACTTTTTTGGGTCCCCATCAAAGAGTAGAAACTCCCTCTTTGGCATCTCGTACTTCTACAAACCAGAGATTACCAAACGCACAACTTCTTCCTGCAACTTGATCTACAAGAGTTTTCTGGGATCAGAGAACCCTTCTCGGGTCGAGGCAGTGGAGTTGAAGGTAATCTAGGCAGTCAATCTCCACAAGAATCAAGATATCTGCCAACTGTCTCGTACGTTTGTTTAGGCAGCAAGGGCATGGCCTTGCCAATCTGCCGTCCATCACTCCCTGCGCTTGACAACTCCATCCGTGCTTGTTGCATCTCAACACGGGCGTTCAAGAACTGCTTCTCCATCTCCAGCTGTTTTCCCTCCTTCTCTAGATCTTGCTCTCTTGCCTTTATTCTTTGCTTCTCTTGAAGCATTCTCACTTTAAACTGAGCCGCTGCTAGTCTTGTCCTTGATGCTTTCTAGCTCTAGAGCAGACCCTTAATTCACCTGAACGGGTAGCATTTGCTGACATATTAACGTCTCTACTCTGCGGAATTTCGCGTGGGGTGCCTGTGAGGTCTTGCAAGCATTATCGCGTGAAGTGTCTCGCGAATACTCACTTGAGGTTCTGCGTGAAGTCTTGCGAGTATTATCGTGTGAAGTGTCTCGGGAATATAATAAACACTTGGGGTTGCGTGTGAGGTTTCGCGAGGAGTACCGCGTGAGTTGTGGCGTGAAGTTTCCTTTAGCGTGTCGTCACGTGCAAAACTTAAAGCGGGAGAAGCAACTTGCTCCCCAGAATTAATCCATGTTGTGCCATATTGTAAATTCTTCATCGGCATGGTTCGCACTGGCCCGGAATACTCCTTGAAAAACTGCTAGGTCCTTGAAAACTCCTTAATTAAAAGCGGTGCTTGAATTTTATTAAATACTACAGCAAAATAAGTTCATTTTGACATCAATTGAAGGAACTGCTGCGGAACGCATTTTAAGTCTCAAACGATGAAAAGCTAACCGCGACTTCTATGGGGTATCCCAAGTACTGTATTCTTCAACCCCCTCTAAGCAAACAAAACCTCAAGGGAAATATAGCTTGAAGCGTGAAATTTATTCGACTCTAAAATGAACTCAAAAGGTCAAAGAGGAAACTGCATTTATAACCGACAGTGAGAGAAGAAGAAGACAGTCGATGCTGACATTAAGTAACTCAATGAAACGGCAGACGACCTTTGTACCAAAGCAGAGGCTAATGCAAAGTTTTGTCATTTGGTCATTTGTCACCCAGGCAAATGATCTAAGGAGATCTGTAAATGAAAAACCTAATGATGTGGCTGAACTGGTTTTGGGATATTAATTGCACTTACAGTTTGGTTTGTTGCCGTGACTGTGAAAAATAAGTAATATTTGTGACACAATAATGTGAGTGCCTGAGAAAATAAACTCCTTGGATTTTGTTATTAAGTCCTGAAAAAGTCGTTGAATAAAAAAGTTAATGAAACCTGTTGGAACCATGATCGAAGAGAGCCTTCTCATTTAACCTCCAATTGATAAGTACGTGCAGCCTTTTTTTGTTCCTCCAAATCGACTAGACTTTGAAGCAAACTTCCGACCGCATCCGAAAAAGTTTGAGAGAATACAAAGTCTATTTTTCAACGACCTTTTCATGGACATCGCCGTTGTCTGATCGGCTTAAGGTCCCTATTTTCGCTCAGAGAGCCCGAGTTTGGAGACAAGAATCTAATTCTATTACGCGCCCTAATCCGGTGTCCCCTTAGCTATAGGCACGGACAGAACCTTTAAGTCGTTTGATATTCTCCGAACAGGCACCTTTTTCATCCAACGTTTTCATCCCTAAATCGCGTCTTCCATAGCCATCGTCAACGTCGTACCCCGTCGAAGGCGAAATGAAGAAGCGATAAGAACCTTGTAGCCGCAAGAGACTGGCGAACGCTTCCACAACTTAATTATATTCACCATAAGTTAACTCGTGGCTGCGGGAAGCAAAACACATCGCAAACTACGGTTCTTAAATGCAAAGCGCGAAGTAAACTTTAAGGCTTACAAAGGAAATGCTAGTGAAGACAATACGTATTAAACGACAAGGAAATATGAAATCTGTATTCAAAATGTTTCACAAACCTTATGGGTGAACTTCTAGTGCCAAAGAAACGACGTGCCATGCATTCAGTTGCAAACTGCAATATGCAAACTACCGCTGTAAGTCGCTCGTATAACTCACTGCATACTTGGGAATATTGAGTGTAAAAAGAAAAGAACAAATTAGGCAAATCGATTAGCATAAGGCATCTACACTTAGTATAAGTAAGTTCTTAAAAGTGGCTTGTTAAAAGGACTACTATATTAAGGTTTGTTGAATTTGCATAATTCTACCGTTTTATCTATTTAGGTACTGAACGTTTGACAGTTCTCTCTCAACGAGACTGGAAGACCTTTCATGCAATTTGCCTGGACCTAGACTGCAGTAACATGTACAACTGGCAAGATCTCGGTACACAGATAGGAATTTCACTGGAGATTTTTGAAAAATGCAAAAGACCTGAAGAGTATGCTGATTTAGCCCTGCAAATAATCTTCACAAGGCAACCATACCTGAGCGTGGGAAAGATGAAAGATGTTCTCAAAGAGATGGGTAGAAGAGATGTGATTGAGCAATTGAATGAGCTCCCAGGTAATTATTGACGTTTTTCACTAGACTTTTGTCGTGTTTTACAAAAATGACCTAACTTGCGCGCAACGGGAACCCTGACAAAACGGACTTTAAGGAAGAAATCTTTTGCCATCGTGCGAACTGTTCATCTCCATTCAATTCGAATGGGGCAGTTCATCATGTTTTAAACTTGGCGAGATGGTGTATCAAAAAATCCCACGCAGATATATCAGGCGTCGATAGAGCAGTACATGTATAAACATAGGAATACACAGGTAAAATTCTGCAAACCTACTTTATCCCAAAATGTGTTTCGAGCAGGTGAGAAATTAAGCTGCAAAAATTAATAAATAAATGACTCAGACGCACAAGTAAATTCCTCAGTAAAGCACAGACGTCACGAATGTCACCTGGCGAGTGTGTAATGTGTTTTTGTACGAAGTTTCTATCGATGTCAAATGGCACGTGCTAAAATCCAGACGGTAGATTCTGGACGATAGGATTCTGGATGGTAGGCGAAAGGAAGATAAACGATAGACGGTGGACTATATAACTAATTTTATGGGAAAATTCATTACTTGACTGGGGAATTCCCCGTTAAATTGCACGCGAAAACCGCCTCGCGATTTGTGCGATATCGGTTTTCAAATGCAATTTAACGGGGAATTCACGAGTCAGGTAATGGATTTTCCTTTAATCGCATAATTGAATAAAAATCAGGAGAAAAAAGAAAACAGCAAT